CCATGTTCTAGGAGAGAATGCCTCTAGAACATGGCCATATAGCCCGAAAAAACCTACATCAACCCAGTGATTCTGGCCATGAAAGCCTTCGACTAAACTTTTGTTTATTTTCCAGTGGCCAGCCACAAAACATAATGCCTACTATTTAAGATATACATCTAAAGAAGAGTGTGTGCTAGCAGGGAAAAAACACATTTAACTGTTTAAAGGAATACTGTTTCAAAGTTTAACTCTTTGTGCTTGACTTCCATGGATTGTCAGATCAAAAGGCATTCTTTGTGAAAATTGCCTTTTTTTGCATTTTGAAAGCTAGAGGTTTCTATAAGCCTTAAATTTGTTCAAAAAAGTAATAACCAATTTGTGATTACTTCATCCATAAAGAAATTATGACTCAATTTTCCTGCAAGTTTCCTGGACATGTTCAAAACTTGCAGTCAAGTCCTATGCATTAAGCCCTATTTGTCTGGTATTCTTGTAGCAACACACACAGATCGAAATAAACCTTTTGCTTTTCTAACATTATTGTATCCATTATTCCATTTGGTTGATAAAGAAATTGGGATTTCTTCCAGAAAACATCAGCAGACCTGGGTAGCTTTTTAAAAAATCCTTTCATGCCTATCTATAAAAATATAGCCAGATGCTTCTCTGATCCTTCATGTTCTCGACTAGGCATGAAGTGGTCGGTGGGGGACTGTAGCAGTTTCATGGTAAGTCTAAGGACTGTGAATAACCAAAGAAGTATAGTTCTACATATAAAAGTACTTCATTAAGTTGAGTCCACCAGGTTGCTTACCAATGTGTGAAAGAATTGATCCTATGAGAAATCATATTCCATAGACTTGAATGATTGTGTTAGATGCCTTTCAGAAACCCTGATTACACTGTGTATATCAGTAGTTCTCAGTTTGTGTATATCATTAGTTCTCAACCTTTATTTGGCTAGCCCCCTTGACCAGGGACCACTTTGACCAAGGCTCACTTTGACCGGGGACAACTTTGACCAGGGACTACTTGACCAGGGAACACTCTCCAACATTAGTACCAAAAGGGTTACGAATCAGTGTCGGTCAGTTTTAGATTCACTTTGGTTATTTGGGGTGCTGATTCAGAAAATTGCATTGGGTAGAACACATCTGTTCTAGTTTCTGATACAGAATATATGCCATCCAATAGTCACCATTTGCTTGCACACAGAAAACCATATTTAATAATCTAGAGCTGATGTGGTCCATCCAATGCAATTTTCTGAACCAAGATTTTTTTTGGGTTGGGCTGTATTACTATCTGTAGATTTGGTTAACACTCATGTTAAAAAAAGAAGGAGAGGGGGTTGAGGTTAAATAAAAAATACAAAAAGCAGAGTGCGAGACCCAAGAAACTATCCCTAACAGCTTTAATAACAATAATTATTATTTTACTGACACAAAAACACAATAAGTCACAACAAACAAGATCTATATGCAGTTGACAGATAATGATTTTGTCAATGTCTATTGTTTCCAAATGCCGGTTGAGATCTTTTGGCACGGCACCCAGTGTGCTGATTACAACTGGGACCACATATACTGGTTTATGCCAGAGCCTTTGCAGTTAGATTTTGAGGTCCTGAAAATTGCGAAGTTTTTCCTCTTGTTTTTCACTCTATGCGACTGTCACCTGGTATGGCAACATCAATAATCCAAACGTTTTTCTTTTTCCACAATCGTGATGTCTGATGCATTATGTTTCAAAACTTTGTCAGTCTGGATTAAGCAGAACACTTTTGCTTTGGGTTTGAATTTGCTTTTGAATTAGCTGTTTGTAATAAAATATCTGTCCATAGGTAACTGTCCACAAACTGGTGTAAGCTGTTCTTCAGAATATAAGCTTGCTGTTGTGATTCAACCTATTTCCTGCATATGAAAACAATATACTCCATGTCCATGTGGAGTTTTTAAATAGACTTCCACAAAAAGTGCACTGTTATCACTGTCTTTGCTTTATTGTTCCTGCCATTTGGGAGAAATGTGGTGAAGAACTTTGCTTATATTCTGCTGACTTGTAGCTTTCCCACCTTCGATTTAATGTTACATACAACTCTTGCTTCTGCTTTCTACCTCTTCTTTATAATATGAACCTTCTCTGTTGCTACTTCATCATCAAACATTTAAACAGTATTTCCCCATGCTGTCTTTATCTGCAGATTCTTCCCTCTCTCAAACATACAAACTGTTTTATGTCAAACTTTTTGGGATTGTTATGAACGTTTATTGAAAAACTTATGACGTCTTGCTTTTTACTGCATACATTCCCACTGTTTTGATAGATATATGAACAACTCTTCATAATTTATTCATGCAGTTCCATTAATGTTTTGACAAAGGTGCTTCTCTGTTTCTTCAGGGAAGAAACGGTTGTCAACTCTACAAGTGGATTTCTGCTTAATCTCTCCAGAGCTCAGTCTTTTGTTTCCTTTTCTGTATTTAGGGTTTATTTTTTTGACTATCAATTAAATGCAACTGTTATAATTGGGGCTAGGTCTAAATTGGGAAAAGGCAAATATGCTGTTTCCTTGACAAATGGGAAGTCAACTTTTTAAGGTGGTATCTTTCTATCTATTTTAAAGCTATATACAACTTAAACTATATATGCCACTACATATATAGTAGTATATGTAGTGACAAATATAGTTTAAGTTGTATATAATGACATCTTAAACTATAGATGTAGTTCAAGGATGAGTTTGAGTAGATTTGCTTAATAATGGGTAATTTTATAATAGGTTGCGGGGTTAGTTTTATAGCAGATTTCTTTCTTTCATTCATATCCTTTTGTGCTTTGTGTTGTGTTTAAAGGTTCTTTATATATTTGGTTATGTGTTTGCTCATATATTTAACTAGCAGTCCCCTGCCACGCATTGCTGTGGCCCTGTCTGGTGATCTGGAAAATAAAGTAATGAGAAAGTGTTGGTATCTAATATATGCATTGTCTTTCTGCTTGTGAGTAAACAGTATTTCTTGCTGTTTCTTTGCTAGTGTTGGTGTGGAGATTGTCTGGTCTGCCTATTCTGGAACACACAACATATCATTGTCCTTCTTTAGGGGTCCCTTTCAAATCTTTGATACTGCATCTGTTATATACATATGTGTGTGTGTGTGAATGGCTGGATGGCCCTTTGTCAGGAGGGCTTTGATTATGTTTTCTTGGCCTGGTGAAGGGAGGTGGACTGGCAGCATTTCTCAACCTGGGATGTCAAGACCCTGGGGGTGGGATCACCAGGGGGGCGTCAGAAGGGTCGCCAAAGACCACCAGAAAACACAGTATTTTCTGTTGGTCATGAGGGTTCTGTGTGGGAAGTTTGCCCCAATTCTGTCGTTGGTGAGGTTCAGAATGCTCCTTGATTGTAGGGGAACTATAAATCCCAGTAACAATAACTCCCAGATGTCAAGGTCTATTTCCTCCAAACTCCATCTGTGTTTATATTTGGGCATATTGAGTATTCATGTCAAGTTTGGTCCAGATCCATCATTGTTTGAGTCCACAGTGCTCTCTAGATGTAGGTGAACTACAACTCCAAAACACAAGTGCAATGTCCACCAAATCCTTCTAGTGTTTTCTGTTGGTCAGGGGAGTCCTGTGTGCCAAGTTTGGTTCAATTCCATCATTGGTGGAGTTCAGAATGCTCTTTGATTATAGGTGAACTATAAATCCGAGCAACTACAACTCCCAAATGACAAAATCATAATGGTCACTCCTTGTGTTGTGAGACATTTTGTTGCCAAATTTGGTGTGATTTCGTTCATTGGTTCTTTTATTTTTAAGGTACTCATTACGCACAGAGCATTTTTATATATATAGATAACAATATTAAAAACCCTATATCTGCCCTCTTACATTGTTAAACCTGTTCTGAATGGTTTGTTTCAGTTTTTTCAAGTTTATATCACTCTTGAATTATCACTGCTCCATGATTCTAATATTTTCCCAAATACGAGCTACCTATAACCACATATAATACGTTCAACAGCAGAGGAGAAATGGTAGTTCCAAAGTTATAATTTTTCCACTCATTGCAAGCAATTTCTAATGTTTTATTGAATGTAAGATTGTGGAATTTACTGGGATCCTGCAGCGAAAAGGTAATTGCTATTGTTATTATTTACATTTGTATCTCCCCCCTCCCCCCTTTCTGCCATAGGAAAAAATATTAGTTTGTAAGCACAGCCATGTTTCATCAGGGCTTGCTGTTCTTGGCGTAATATGGTCACATGGATCATCTTGCCATGGCCATCCTACCAAGTGATTAGAGATAATTTTACCATATAGGAAAGACATGTATTATGATAGGACAAAACAGCTACCTATAATCACATATAATATGTTCAACAGCAGAGGAGAAATCATAGTTCCAAAGATATAATTTTGCCCTCCAGCTATGTATTGTGATGTCATCTTGGCTGGTCAGTTACTGCATTATGAGGTCAGCTGTGAAGAGCTGTATTGTGTATAGGCAGCCTGATAATAGAAAGGAGGAGTTGATATGGGAGAGACTCAGACTATTTATTAAGAGTGGTTGGAATAAGGTAAAAAACTGATAAAATTGATTTGTCTGAAGGTCAGCAAGAGGGGAACTTGTACTTCTCCAGATGTCCTGACGTCCCACAAGTCTCAGACACACACAGACATTTACAAGTGCTTTCTGAAGTCCAAAACATCTAGAAAACTAATGTTCCTCGACCCAGCTACAGTTATTGAAAAGAAAATAAGTGCTTCAGGAACTGAGATAACTTAACTCACATGAGAACAATTGCTTGATCTGAGGTTTACTCATGTTAACTGACTTGTTAAATGCCATGTGCAATCATAAAACTGGTACAACATGATGATGTTGGGTTCCTTTCTATGAAAAAGCTTGTTTAGGTCTGTGATCTGCATTTAAATCCTCACGTTGACTATGAATTACTAACACTGTTTCCTGATAGCAATGTCTTGTGTGTCTATTTTGGTGACTGTTTCAGATAAACATGTGCAGTGGCTCCGTGGGACCGATGGTGAGGTCTGGGTTTGGATTATGGGTGAAGCTGCTGGAGACAAACCTTATGAACAGATTTCAGAAGAACTTATTGCAGAGAGAGCCAGACAACAAGCTCAGAAAGAAGCTGAAGAATTATGGTGAGCACTGGCAGTACCAAAAGTAATTGATTCCTATAGCTTGGATGAGCAGACCCATATTTTAGTAATTTTTCCTGCAAAGTTATAGTGTTCCTTTCAAAACAATTTTCGGAGTTTGACTTTACTCCCCTCTCAATTTTATTCTTTTTTTAAAATGAAATAACCCAGTTTTCTTAGGCCAAAGATTGTTTAAAAATAGAAACCACAAAAGCTATGACTATTCAATTTGCACTTGCAAAAAAATCTCTTAAGAATGTTATATATCTGAATTTACTGTGTTTTTTAAAAGGAAAGAAAAGGAAGCTGAAATTACAAAGAAGTTCCGCGATGCAATGGCAAATGAGAAAGCTCGAATACTAGCAGAGAAATGGAAAATAGAGACAGAAGATCGCAAAGCAGCCAAATTGATGGAGGAGAAATTCCAAGAAGAATTAAAGGTTTGTTGGCTCCTTTTGTTTACATTTCATTCTGTTGTTGAGCTTGGTGCTATGGAAAGATCCTTCAGAATACTAGAGTGTTTTCAACCAAGATGATGGAGGCTATTTCTGTACCAAACTGGATTGTGTCTGTAAGATCCATGATACAGAATGCAGAATGAGTGCTGAATGTTTTGGTCTGACATTTGTGGATTTGATAATTTATAGAATTGTCCCCCTTCCCCAGGCCTCTGTCCTTCCCTTCAAAGCTGGAGGCTGCCATTTGCACATTCACACAAGAGTCACACGACCCATCCAGACAGGGCCCATAACGTGGGAGCTCCCTCAGTTTTACTGTAGGCATCCAAACGAAGTTTACGGTAAAACCAAATTAATTTGAGAGTAGAAAAAACCTGCTTTGTCTTTAATTAATTTGATACTCCATTAGACACAGAACTTTCAGGAAAACCTTTGGGACTACCGATGGTCAGTCCATACAGTCCAATTGGCTTGTTTTGGCCCCTGCATGCTTTCTGGCATGTACCAATGTTGTGCTAGGAGAGGGCCAAATAGCTCCTCCCTCTGCTTCCTGGCACAATATTGGTACATTCCAGGAAGCATGCAGAGAGGAATAATTGCAACCCAGTAAGTTTTCATTTTATTTTAAAGGGGTTTTTTTGGGGGGGGGGGAGTGATTTGTGTTGTCCCCATTGTAATGTGGTTGTTACCATGGTACAATGGGGACAACACATGGCAGGCCCGTAGCCAGGATTTTGATTCGGGGGGGGGGGGCTGAGTTTGATTGGGGGGGGCTGAGTCTGAGTGAAAGAGGATCTACCCTAGCAAACCTTTTGTATCGTTACCCCAATACCCCCATGCATATGATATATATTGAGCATGGTGATCAGATCATGATATGAATAAACATAACAGTCTAAATAATGTACCAGTAAGGCCTTCTCGTGGACCACCATGAGAATTTTTTTGGGGGGGGGGCTGAAGCCCCCAAAGCCACCCCTCCCCCCCCGGCTACATGCCCGACACATGGGAAAGCCTGCTTCTTTTGCGTGCCCAGGAGGACATCAACGTGGGAAAAAACAGGGTACTTTAACCCATTTTCTCCCACAATAAATTGCTGTCTGGAAGCAGCCTCAGGCTTTTTGAGAGGGGTGCACCAGCGATTGCAATGGCTACCACCAACCACATCCCACAGAGAAGCCAGTTTTGGTATTAACTCTTCTTTCCCCTCCCAGAGCTATGTGTGATGAAGTTGGTGCATGTGCAAATGAGAGTCAGATTTAGCACCTTTTGAAGCAGAAAGGAGAAGTGTCTTTCCTCACCAACCACTGACCTTTGCTGTTGAAAGGAGGGAATACCTTTCTGTTCCCTTCAGAACCCAATACCTGGCAGTGAAAGGCTTTTCTTCGTGCTGATTCAAAAGGTAAATTTGACTTTCTCACCTATGTATGCATGCACGGATGCACACACACCACATATTCCTCCACACTGGTTCCAAAAGTGTTGAACCAGTTTCTCATGGCCCCTACTTGGCTATGTATGCCTCAGAGAAAAGAAGGGATGCATGCAAAAGGACCCCCCCCCCCCGATGTGCAACCAATTAGAGGCAACGGCAAGAGAAGGATTAAACATGCTTGGAACCAGTAAGAAAAAACACAAGTTTTGGAAGGAATGAAGAGAACAGAAAGATGCTTCTATTCATTACTTGCAATGGTGGTGGTACTAGTGACCCATCTCTCCTCCCTGGCCCCTCACTACCCTCAGAGGCGGCCTTAGGTAATTTTCAATGGTAAGCAAACAGTATTTTGCCCCCCTCCAACCAATCACTGATATATATTTTCTGTTTGTCATGGGAGTTCTGTGTGCCATATTTAGTTCAATTCCATCATTGGTGGAGTTCAGAATGCTCTTTGATTGTGGGTGAACTATACATCCCAGTAACTACAACTTGCATATGTCAAGGTCTATTTTCCCCCAAGAGCGCCTCAAGAGCACCCCTGGGCAAAATCAACTATACTGCAAATGCTTACTTTGCGTAATGGATTGAACCACCCCTGACTACCCTCAAAAGATCCATGGAAATATATGTAGATTTTACTCATTTGTTGGGGTCCTCTGCCTCTAACCTCAGTAAATATAGAGGGTCAGCTGTATATGTGCCTTCTGGGTAATCAAAGGAAAATTTCTGAAAAGAGTAGTCCCATGTAATTTTCTCCAGGCTCTCCTCTTCTTCAGCTTACACGTGTGCTTTTCTTCTGCTTTTGGACATGTTTCAAGAGAAAACAGTTGGTAAAAAAATATAATTAAGTGCAGTGGTGATGTGAAGGGATGGCAATGGCTATGGCAGAGTTGAATTGTTATTTGATTTCTTTCATGGGGAATGTGTGAAATTAAGAGGCAAATTTGTTGCTACATGGAAGAAATCATGAAATAGCTCACCCTGGTCTTATGGCTTTTTACTGAAAAGAAAAACAACTTTGGAAGGCTATAAATATAACTGGAAAATTGGCAAAGAGGGCAGAAGTGTTTAACCAATTTTACTTTTGGCCATATTTGTCTCCTTTTTTCCACACAAAGTTGAAAAATATCATCCCATCCCATCTTTCCAAGGGCATTTATGGCTCAGTTTCTATGATGTGCAACCCCTGCAGTGCTTTCCAAGTTGGTCCATGCTATTTCTAGACATCATGCCAATAAAAAAGGCAAGTTTTCCTTTTTTTCCAAAAAGAGAGCACTTTCAAATGGAAGCTGTGCTTCACAGACTAAGTGTTTCAGCAAAATGTGCATTCTCTGAAAAATGAAAAGCTATATATCAATTTATACAGTGGTTTAGAAGGTGCGATTCATTTTAAAATGCAAAATGATTCAGTTCCTCCCCAATCTCAAATTGGAATCCTAACTAGTTCTTGCCAAACCTCTAAGGTATGGAAAAAATTAAATGCCTGTGCATTATCTACCTCGGCTCCAACAGATACATTTTTCTTCTGTCTTCATATTCTTTCCACCACTTTCTGTGAGTGTGAACTTGGCATCTTCTAACTTTGCAATTGTGAATTTTGAAAAGAAGCAGGACGAAAGGCCCTTATAGACTGCAAACTAGTAGCAACGGCAATACTTTGAATGTTGAAGGTTTCCACGTTGTCCCGAGGTCCTGTAGATTCTTTGTGTTTATCTTCAAGTCTGCCGCTCAATCAGGAGACAAGGCAAGGATTTCTTCTTGTATGAATTTTTGTGTTATTCTATTATGTGCTTCTCTTTTCCACCTGTGCTTTGACATACCCAGAGACCTATTTACTATAACAAGACAAAAGAGAGGTAAGGTGAAAAAACTGGAGGAGGTGGCGAACAGGCAGAATACAGCTGCCTCATCTCCCAATTAAGTGGCACTACAAAGTCCCGTGTCAACTGAATTCTTAGCAAAAGAAAAGATTCCCTCAGGAATTGGCATTTTTATCCCAGATGAGGTTTGTCTAGAAGCCATATATAGAGCAGAGCCATTATCTGTTTCCCTTTGCGTGGTGAACTTGTTCATTGAATTGACAATTATTCTATCTGTGATGAAAGAAAAGAGGTTTGCTGAGACTCTTCTTTTTTGGATGGGAGAAAATATTTCTTTTGTGAGGGAGAAAATAGCAGCATTGTAACTGCTGAATGGCTTCATTAAGACACTACTCCAGACATAATGAACACTTTCGATTGACATGATACCTCTGCCCCTCTGAAGTGCAAGAACATATTGACCCGTGACCCCTCTTCCCTAAAGAGCCGCTGATCTCAGCCTGTATACTCGAATTGAGCTACACTTGCCACAAGCATAATAGGTGGAAACTTTTCATATTTAGCTATTGAAAAGGCCGCGTGACAATTGTGTTGCTTGCAAAAACAGAAAGGCCAAAGGCCACCATCCACAAATGTCATAATCAACTTTGGTATCATGAGGGTTCTTTCAGGTTTATCCTAGCCTTGCAGGTACTTTGTCTTCCTTATTTTCCAGTGTCTAATTGCTGCTCTCTCCTGCTGCTTAGAAATACCCCTTTGGCAGAGAAGGCTGAAGATTTCTCTGCCTGTTCTTCTCTTCCTTGTTGGAACCAGACAGCAAATCATCCCACCCAAAGCCCTCCTCTGGTGTGATTGACTGGCCTCTCAACTGGCCTCTCAGCCAAGGGGAAGGCTGTTTCTGAGATTCCAAGAAGGGAGGGGAGAGCAGGCATACTTGGTGCATGGCAGGCAAGGGAGAGCGTGTGAGGTGGGAAGGAGGCTTATGCCAGCAAGTCCCTTCAAGGCATGGGGGTTCTGTGTGGGAAGTTTGGACCAATTATATCATTGGTGGGGTTCAGAATTCTCTTTGATTGTAGGTGAACTATAAATTCCAGCAACTACAACTCCCAAATGTCAAGGTCTATTTTCCCCAAATGCCACAAGTCTTCACATTTGGGCATATTGAATATTCATGCCAAGTTTGGTCCAGATCTATCATTGTTTGAGTCCACAATGCTCTCTGGATGTAGGTGAATTACAACTGCAAAACTCAAGGTCAATGCTCACCCTTCCAGTATTTTCTGTTGGTCATGGGAGTTCTATGTGCCTAGTTTGATTCAACTCCATGGTTGGTTGAGTTCAGAATGTTCTTTGATTACAGGTTAACTATAAATCCCATCAACTACAACTCCCAAATGTCAAGGTCTATTTTCCCCAAACTCCACAAATTTTCACATTTGGGAATATTGAATATTCATGCCAAGTTTGGTCCAGATCTATCATTGTGTGAAAGCGAATCCTCCCATCAAAAACCCTCCTCCTACTGTGATTGGCTGGTCTCTCAGCCAAGGGAATGATTGTTTCTGAGACTCCAAGCAGGGAGAGGAGAGCAGGCATGCTCTCCTCTTAATCACTGTCAATTCCTCCCAGATCCCTCCAGTATTTTCTGTTGGTCATGGCGGCTCTGTGTGGGAAGTTTGACTCAATTCTATTGTTGGTGGGGTTCAAGGGGCTCTTTGACTGTA